GAGATTTATTTTTTAACTTGCTTTTGAAGTTTGATGAAGGGACTGGACACGGGATGTTACGAGGTTACCTGTAGGTGTTATGGGTGCAGTTTTTATTGGGATGCAATCTGGGAGTTAATGCTGAAAGGTTAAACGTTAGAAGTTACACTTTATATGTCTACTCGTGGCATCTTTTTTTAAATATCAACTTTAATGAGGTAAGCGGAGCTTTGCAAAAGTTCAGTCAGATTGCGGTTTCGCCACCTGAGCTCAGCGACTGTTTCAGTGAGCATCGCCCTTGAAAGCCTAATTTTGAAACTATTTATTTGGCCACTATACAGCAGTTTTTTTTTGGTCATTGCTGTACTTTGTGTTTATTCTGTATTTCCTTTTGGCGATAAGAACGACTCGGAACGTTAATTTATGGCAGATTAGTGAAACAGAAGTATTGGTACTTTTTGAAAGATTTCTGTTACTTTAGTTCTTCAAGTTGTTTCAATTTTTCCTCTCGTTTAAATGACTGGAGTTGTTAGGGCTGAAGAAAAGATTATGTCGGCTTTCCCTGACTCTTCTGTTAGTCAGAGTTTGCAGTTTGAAATACCTAAGAATTCCAGCTTTGTTTGGCTGTTTTTGAACTAAAATTCCATTAAGCATTTTTGTGTTTATCTCATTATATAGTTCAGTCCTGTATTTAATTGCGCAGTGTGATTTATTTCTGAATCTGGATTATCCACTTGATGAATATGGTTCATAAGCAGAAAAAGGTGCGTAATTTGTGATGCGCAAGAAGATTGTTTTGATTGTGTGTGTGCGGGTCAATAGAAATCAATAGCAACCACCATGTTGGGTCAACAGTTTGGTGGACTTTCCTTGTACTGTCTAAAATTTTGATCTTGATGAGTTTATTTTCACGGTCTTTGCAGTTAGGTAGAATGAAGTGTTAATAATTTATTTTTTAACAAGTGATAGTTGATGCCGTTCTATTGGGACCGCGAAGAAATGGACAGTAATATGGGTAAGGGAAAATTGGAACCGGGTTGGAGAATTTGTTAAGAATTTATAAGTTAATTATCATTTAATTTCGTTCATTTTTCTTTTGAACAGTTACTACTGAAGTTTCTTCGTTTTCATCTTTCTGTTTATTCAATATAAGGTGAGGGCAAGGACGTGGCTTTGAAGTTTTGTTACGCTGAATTTGAGGAAGAAAAGTAAATTTGAAAAGCACTGAGTATGTGTACTTGACTCATAGTTTTAGGATTGCTTTATATCAGAGAAACGTGGAAGAAATATTTGTTTTACAGTTTTTTAACAAGAAATTTGAGTTGTTATGTTTAGCAGTTGGAACAGTAATGTGCATTTGCGACTCGTATTTAGCAGATATACTGCTGGGCAAGCTTCTTTTTTTTTTCAAATTCGTAATTTAAGCATAGTGATACATGTTGATTATTTGAGTGTATTTGACTTTTTTTTGCTATTTCCTCTTTTTGGAGAATTATGAAATTGTCATTTAAAAGTTGGAAGCTTCGACAGCTGCTGACAACAGCAACTTCAGTGGAAGTTTCTCTACAAATTGGTTGTTCCTGATTATCGTTTCTGAAGTGACTTACAGCTAAAATTGTAATTTTAATTTGCTGGTCTCTGTTATGACATGTTTCTTAAGTTTATCTTCATTCATTTTTTGATAGTGATCACATCTGCGGGGAGCAGAAGTTTATAATGAATCTTTCGAGGAGCATTAGTTACTTTCTTATTTGCTGCTACATTTCCGTTTGTACCAATGCTATTAATGCTATAAATTTGTTTTGTTTCTTTTTTCCTTCGTCTTAGAATGTCAGTTATTGATTAAAATATAATGCTTGTTTTGTACTTAATGGTGTTACAGGAAATATATCGTTGGTTAGAAACTATACACTGGTTAATTAAATTATGGCTTCAGTGACCGGTTCAAGGAAAGGAGAGGTATCCAAAAAGTTACTACCTCGGAAGAAGAAGCTGAGAGAACGAGCACAGAAGTTTAATGTCAGGTGAAGCTGTTTTTTTTTTGTGGGGGGGGAGGGGGGAAGGAAGAGAGGAAAATTCACTTTTTTCTCTGCCTTTGATGAATTGGTAGTACCAAATTAAGAAATATTTATATTATTTTTTTGGATGAACTATTATGAAAGCATTTTCATCTTGCTTATTTTCTTAAGACTGATGGTCACTTGTACTTTGTCACTGTAGAAGTGGATTCTGTCATACATGCTCTTTCGGTTACAGGTGTTATTCGTTACGTGAGAGGTTCGATCATGTGAAAGATTTTCAAGATTGGTTAACTAAAGAGTCAGCAAAAGCTCCTTGGTATTTATTTTCTACTTACAGAGGTTTGTTTATTTTTGCGAGCTTTTCATGAACTGTAGCGCGCAAATCATATACTCGGCTCATTTTTGCTTATCATGGCTTTTTTTCTTTAAAATCAGTTGTACACTATCGAATTTACACATTAAATGAAAGAAAAAGAAAAAAAA